AATTTGGGACATGCACATCGGGTCCTCAAGAGGCCCGCGAGGGCAACAGCTGGCACGCCCATCGGAAGAGGCAACCAGGGAGCAGGCGGACGAGCCAACTGGCTGCGACGGCGCCGCGCAAAGGTAAGCATGCCATCTTGTGCCAAGAATGGTTTTCTGCTGATTGCCCCCTCCATTAAGCCTTGCTCCAGATGACACACACACACACACACAAAGCTTGTCAACATGATGTGTGAGGAAAAAGTCTACTGGTTCAGACCTGGCTCAGCCCATGCTACTTTCGCAAGATGTCAGTGCGCAAAAGCAGCGAAGCTACATATTCAACAAACGTAAATACTTGTAGCTTCAATTTTCGACGTCCCCCCTCAAGTTCGGCCACTGGGGGTGGGAATGATGCTTGGCTTCGTTTCACCTTGCGGTTGGCATCTGTCTCTCTCTCTTTCTCTCTCTCTCTCTCTCTTTCTCCTGCACCGGCGGTCCATCCGTTCAACGGCCCGTGCTTAGTATGTTTTCGCGCGGCGCCTTCGACTGCGTTGCCCTACAACTGTTTGGTTGGATGCAGCCACAGTGCCTCCGATCGATCCGGCACCAGTCTTCTCATCTCTCCCCCAGTTCTTCCCTTTCAACCCAGTTCGCTTTTCATTTGGATGTCTTGCCAAATGACCTTTTGGCCCCATGACATGCCACTCGCGTTTGGCGTCCGTAAGCATCCGGCCAGGTGCAAGTGGCGCCGTCTGGCGCCTTCCCCTTGCCAGCCTCCAGTTGGGGCCTGACCTGTGCGGCAAAAGAGTCGCAGAGTTGGCGGAAGCTTGCCCTGCCTCCCACATGCACACAGACAGACATTTCCTGAGCCGCTGGAATGTTGCAACATTCTGGACATATCTGGGCACGGGCTGGACATCAAGTCAGAGCACCGGCTGCTCCAAACAACTCTACGCAGGCTGTGACTGAGCGTAGCGGCACCGCATGCTGCACACTGACCGCCGTCTTCCCGTTCTCATACGAGATGAACCTCTGGCAAAGTGGCGCGGCCATGTCTCCAGCGCAGGTGGCTTTGGCTCAAAAAAAAACGGAATTCCAAAATGGTACCCTGGTAAGCGGAAACATGGACCAAGACCTGCGGTTTGCCCCTCCGATCGTTTGATTTTGAGCCATACCCAGGTGGGTCATTGCCAAACCGCTAGGACCGCTAGGAGCTCTGCCAGCCGCCCAGCCGAAGCCTCAGTCAGCCGAGCAACCCGACTGTCAAGGCAAACAGCTCAGCCACTGGCTGCCACTGAAAGAAGGCTCTTCCTGGCGCACGGCTCAGGGCTGACACAGGCCCAAGGCAAAAATGAGATGGCCATGGTGCAAAACCGTTTTGGGATCCCATTTTGGGATGGGTGAATTCACCACCCATGTTAGAAAACCTATTTTAGTGGGGATTGGGATGTTCACTGGGGGGTACGATTTGGGTTTTGACCCATGGCCATATGATTCCTTCCGCCCCGAGAAGATGTTGTCGTTCTTTGCCATTGACCAGCTTTTGGCCTGGTAAGTCCATGTCAGCCCCCGAAATCCGGAATCCCCCTTCGCCGAGGCCTGCCGCAGGATTGCGGGGAACCAGCCCCATGTTCTGCCTAAAAATGTGCACCTCAGGCGACCCCTGATGGCCAGCGGTTTGTCCGTCGCCTCTGGGCGCCAGGCACTTTGGAGCACGTCCGTTGAGTCAGCTGCTTCCGGCACACCTTCTACCTGAGCAAGCATTCTGAGCAAGACTTGGTGCGATAGGTGGATGAGAAATGGAATGACCCCTATAAACCATCACTTGTGGTTTCTTTTCAGGGAATTGGCTCATTCCCTCAGTCCCCACCTATCACACCAGCAAGAAGAAGCAAAGGCCATCTGTCGCTTCCCGAGCACCCCACGTTGCAGAACGTGTACCTGGGCGAACGGGTCAATGCTTCAAAAGTCGCCCCAGAGCTCAAGTCACTCAGAGAGTCAGCCCTCAGGCCCTGACATGGTGCAGCCTACCACCCCCGGCCCAAAACAGCAAACGAGGAGCCGAAGGGACGGTCCGAACATCCATCCTGCCTCGAGCTGAGAGGGCGCTGAAGAACTTTGGCGCCATCATCGGAAGGCACAACCTCGCGAAATGAGAAGCCGGCAATTCCGTTGAGAACCAAAACATGTGGCCAGGGACATACAAAAGGGGCAGGTGCAAGAAGTGCTTGCCTTTCAGCTTTCTTCCTGCGCCCTTCGTCGATCCAAGTCCAGCTTCCCTCGTTCGTCCAGCTTTCCAGGCCGTCCAATCCTTCTCCAAGAACGTGCGTGTCACTTCGCTTTGTTTTGACTGGAAGGCCCAGGTTGCCCCCGGCTCCTCAGGAGGCCGGGGCGCACGAGGCCGGCGTCAAACTTCCGGGAAGCTGGCGTCTACGTCAAAGCTTTTCGCAGTGGGACGGTGCACAGCTTCAGCCGTGCACACCCCACAGTCACAAAACATAGAAAGCCACGCGGCACATGCTCATCACATGCCCGCTTTGAGGCTTGGAACCAACGCCCAAAAAAAACATGCCGCTTAGTCAGCGAGCAGGGCGAAGCTGGGCGCCTCAAACTGAAACTTCCGATGGCTTGCGCCAGGACAGGCTGCAAGGCAAACAACGGCCAGTAGTTGCGTACCTGTAGCTCATCATGAGGATGTTTAGCCCTTGGAGCCGGAAGAAAACCATCAAAATGAGCAACGCCATCAGATTGTACAGGAGGGTCTCCTGGCACATGTCAATCCATCCAATGTGAGGGCATGCCACGCTTCTGCGAGCTGGGAGTTTCAATCTACCCATATAAATCCGACATTCTAACCATGAAACGCACTCCTCATGGTTGTCGCCCATTGGCCAAATGTCATCCATGCCAATAGACCGGAGAGCATCGTTGCAGGTGATCACCGGGCAAATGCCACCAGATCCTTGCATCTCCTCATCCGTGCAGCAAAAATCACAGGGCGAGTTGCCGCATTGATCGCCCGGACTCGTGCGCCAAGACGCATCACAGCCTGCGGGGGACAACTCGCCAAGGTGCTTTGGTGGAAGGGTAGCCCTCTCCGCGCAGAAAGATTGCATGCAAAACCATGGTGGCCGCCCCGTTCCGAAAAGGAAAACAAACCTTGACCGAAAAGGCCACGACCATGGGCACCATTCAGCCACACAGTGCTGAGCTTTTCTCCATGTGGTTTGGGGCCTGTCTTCTCTGCGCAGTTGAACTCATTGATCATGGTAGCTTGCACGGCGTAGCGCGCCACCATCACGTAGCTGAGCGCGTTGAAGGGCTGTGGGAGGTCCTTGACCTGGCACAACCCGGGCAATTGGGTCAATGCCGCACCCTAAGCCTGAAACCCATTTGGCTGTGGGTCAAAACCAATGGTACCATTTTGGGGCAAGTGCACCACCCATATTAGTCTATTTTAGTGGGGATTGGGATGTTCACTGGGGGTACGGGATTTTGACCCGGCCATTTTTACCTGGCTTGGCCATCAGCTGCTCGGACTGGGCACTCTTCCGGCCTTGATGAAGATCCCCGCCAGCAGCAGCTGCGGCATCACCAGGCCAGGAGCGATGGAGAGCCCCATGCTCACGCTGGGCACCGCGGCAGACACCATGAAGCCGATCCCCGCCCCGCAGTTGGACACCACAGCCATGAGCACGTAGAAAAGCAGGACGCGTTCGGCGCTCTCGCCGTTCAAGCCGATGAGGGGGTAGCTGATGGCCAGCACCAGAAGTGGGAAACTGCTCTGCAAGATGGTGTCGATGCACATCTTCGCGAGATAAAAGGCAGCCGGATGATACAGCTTGTCCTGGGTCTCGCGCAGGAACACCGCCCGCTCTGCGGGAAAGGCATTCACCACCCCCAGGATTGCAAACAGGAACTGGGCAAAGACCAGCATGAAGCTGGAGAACAGCCGTGGCTGGATGCCGGACAGGTTCCGCTCCAGCTGCACAAAGATCCAGCCAATGAGCACGGACGACAGGACGGACTGGACGGCGCGCACCAGCGTCAGGGACTTGTTGCGTCTGGTGTTCACCAGCTCCCGGTGGAACAAGGTCCCCAGCTGCCCGCAGAACCCCGCCCGCTTCCCCTGGACCGGGCCGCCTTTGCCGCTCTTGCCGTCACCTGGCTGTGGTTGGCAAAAATAGGGCAACCCCAAAATGGGCTGCGCTGGTGAGTGGCATGGACGGTCCAATTCCTGGTTTCAGTTTGCCCCACCTGCGGCCGCGTCGGAATCGGCCGACGCCTCCGCCTTGGTCCAGGTGAGGCCCCGCAGGTTCTGCAGCCGCAGCTCGTGGGCCTTGCGCTCCTCCGGGTCGGAGGGCCTCTCCAGAGCGTCCAGCAGCAGCTCCGGCAGCGGCACGCCCTCGGGGCAGAAGAACCCGAAGCCCTGCAGGGAGCCGCGCAAATTGCCCACCGGCCCGTAGTACGCGGTCACCCCCGTCTCCAGCAGCAGGACCTCCAAAAGCGAGGGCTGAGCGCTTGGACATGTACGACTCGGAGGTTGCTAAGACATTAAGAGTAGCAATTCGAATCGAAGATCCAAACTTGGTCCTAATGAGGCAGATTCCCCAGCTGGGGCCAAATAAAGATCTGTTCATTCGAGTCAGCCTTTTTGGGGCCCCCCAATTAGGCATGGTGGGAAGCTAGAGAATCTAAAGCTTTGCACGGTTGTAGAGAACTCCGGCTAGCGCGGCTTGCTTGCGTGACAGAATCATGCGTTTCAAGTGGAACACGGCAACAACCAATAAAAAACAGAAAACACGTGACGTAAGAAATACTTTGGGCACAAAAGCTCTGCACAAGCCTGATGGCTAAGATACAGATGGTCCCGAAGAATTCGTGCAAGGCCCGGCCAAAGTTGTTGCGAATAACTGCCGTATGATACGCATCTTCAATGCCTGCATGTGTATATGGGTCAAAATTAAACCACCAGGGGACCGCGGTTTTAGTTCATGTTACGACGTACAGGGTTCCATTTTGGAAACCTATTTTGACCCACAGCCATGTCATGAGCATGAGGTCGAAATTTCGACTGCTTGTTTCATCGCTCGTGTCTGGCGTTGTGTGGCGGTTGCCAGGAAAAAACACATGGCCCAAACAACCGCAGTCCCTCCTCCCTTGCACTCCCGTAAACCCCGACTAGCGGGACCAACAAGGTGCTAGTCCTTTTGACGTCCCTTCAAACTAACCTTAAGAAGCTTGGGGTCAAATAAAACACCTCCTATGGCCAAACTAGTATGTGACACCCAGGGCAGCATCGCTTTGCTTCCGAACAAAACCGGCTCCCCACCTTATCGAATCGAGCGAAGACGTTCTCCGAGGGCTGGTGGATGGTGGCGATCACCGTGCAGCCCTGCTCCGCGATCTGCTTCACGTCCTGGAGGGTCGTGGCCATGGGTCAAAACCCCGCACCCCCAGTGAGCATCCCAATCCCCACTAAAATAGGTTCTAAAATGGGTGGTGAATTCACCCACCCCAAAATAAAATCCCATTGGCTTTGACAACCACGGCCACATGTCAAACAAGGACGAAGACCCTGGAGGTCAGGGCAAAGATCCCCAGGCTTCGGCTAACATGTTGAAACCAATATGGCTCCAACCAGTTTTTTTTGTTTGCTCCCTTTGGCCGGGTCTCTCTCGGGGCTTCTTTCTCAACCAACATGTCTCCCCCCCCTCTCCTGGATCAGGGAATCCGACATCTTGGAGTCCAAGCCGCTGGTCGGCTCATCCAAGAGCAGCAGGGAGGGGCTTCCAATCAAAGAGAGCGCAACGTTGGTACGCTTCCGCTCGCCACCGGAGATGCCTCGGACCAGGCCTGGGGAGCCGACCACGGTGTCGGCACACTTCCTCAAGTTCAACTTGTCGATGACATCTTCAACCACCTGGCACGGCTTTTCGAAACCAGAACAGGAGGGTAGCCACAAACAACAAGCACACCCACCTTGCTGCGCTCATCCTTGGAAAGCTTGGGCAGGATGAAGGCCGCTGCAAACGTCAAGTTCTCGCGAGGGGTCAGGGTCTCGTACATGATGTCATCCTGGGTGACGTATCCCACGCTGCTTCGCACCTTGGAAAGGGGATGGCCATCATAGAGGATGTCGCCTTCGGTGACTCCTGGCCACTGCACTCTCGGCCTGCGCCTGTGCCATTTGGGGGTGGGTCAAAAACAGGTACCCAGAACGGAACCCTGGCAAATGGAAACCAAGACTAAAACCTGCGGTCCCCTGGTCGTGAAAAAAATGACCCACACCCATTTCAATAATGGAAATTTCCGGGTCCTGAGACCTGGCGGCCCACGATGCGGTTCAGCAGGGTCGTCTTGCCAGCCCCAGAGGGCCCCATCAGCGCGACCATAGCCCCTTTCTGCACATAGCAGTTGACGTTCTGTAGCAGCTTCCGGCCCCCTGCCACCGTGATGCTCAGATCCTGCCCAGCTCGGTTTTTGCAAAGCGACACTCGCATGACTTCACTTGAAATGTCTTGGCACTTCTGCGGGCTTGTCCAACCCCATCCTCCACTGAGACGTCCATGCTTGGCGCCAACACACTGAAGCCCCTTGCCAGCTCAAGCCAAGAAACTGGACAGGGCGAATATGCAAATGTGCTGCGACACATATGCACGTGGACCAGTGGAGAGTGAGGATTCCAGCTGTGTCAACGACCTTCTGCAAGCAGCCTTCGGCATCCATAACATGATCAAGCAGTGGGGAGCAAGTTCCTTTTCTCGCATGCATTCGCTCTAGGTGACGTCACCGTGGAATGATATCTTTAAAAACGCTGCGCTCTGCGCCTTCTGCGGGTCACGTGTCCAGCCCCCCTTCTCACAGAGCTAAAAAGAGCACAAAGCGCGGCCGTCGAGCCCGGCCCAGCAAGAGCCAGAGCCGGCACAAAGACCCAGCTACCTCATAATAACCATGAGTTAAGACTTGTTTGACCGAGGGCTTGCGTGGAAGCCGACTCCTGCCCCAGTCCGTGCTGACAAATCGGGGAAGGGCCAAGGGCTGCGGTATTCAGCCGCAAGCTTCAGGATGGAAAAATGCTGGCTAGCTGGGGATCGCACAAAGCCAGGCAGCTTGCCAAGGAGCAGCCGCAATTGATAAACACTCCAGCCCCCCCCAAAAAAAAGAATGAAGTAATCAGAAGCAATGCGCGGTTGTTGCACCATTTCAGGGACCATGACAAGCGGTCAACAAGTCAGAGTTGCTAAAGTGCTAAAGCCGCTCACTTCGGCTGTGCCCATGTGCCGAAGCCAGCCAGCCAAAACCAGGCCTGTTGCCTAACAGCCCACAGGCTGTGCCGGGCTGTGCGCCCGGACGCTTGGATTGGGAAGATGCTCGAAAACCAGACTGCTCCAGACTGCACTGCTGCCATAGCTGTGAACAAAAAGCGTGTTGATGCCTTGCGCTGTGACTGTTGAATCGTAATGTGGCTGGCAACTTCGCAAGTGGTGGCGAGTGTCTGCAGCTTCCTGAATTTGCTCCTCAAGGCAAAGCCCCACGCACATGCTCTTGGAGGTTCTTCTTTTTCCCATCACATGCCTGCACAAAACCGTGTGGGACTCTTGGAAGGAGCCTGAAAGATGAAATCTGCCAGTTGACTTAAAAAAAAAGTCCGGCCATGAATCCGTCGAACACGAGCTGGGAGGCAATTCCTTCCCTCCCGTGCTGGGCTGCATGGGTGCTCTAGAAGCAGTCATGTGCCGGATGTCACCAGAACCTTTTTAAGCAGCCCAGACAAAACACGCGCAACTGTTATATGGTATGCTGCGAACTGTGATTCCAACAGAGTTGGCAGCTTTCTGAAATGCTGGAGAGAAACCTGAGGGCGAGCTTCGGATTGTTGCTTTTTCCTACCTCTTGGTGGAAGAACAGGTTCGAGTCACCTTCGCCCTCGGGCCTACAGAGCAGCCTGGATCTCCACTCAACGGGTCCTAAACGAAACCCAAACTCGTCTCGTTTCATCCGATGGATGGCGCTGGATTTTGAACTCTGGCGCCTCAGGGGCAAGAAGCAGATTCGCCCAAGTCAGAAATGTCCAGTAGAGCAACCTCGCTGACCCAGAAAACCTGCTGGCGTTCCACAGCTCGCTGGGTTGTTGCGCTATGTTGATCAGAACCCTCGACCCACCACTTCCAACCCTCAAACCCACCCTGATCCAGGGTGCACCAAGTCTCCGCTTGCCTTGAGTTGCCATGTGGTTTGATCATGTTGTCGTCTTGTTGAAAGCAGCGTGTCACATATTGGCCATATGCCTGCCTTTTGATCAACTGGAGTTCTTGACCCAAGATCGAAACTGGCATGAAACCGCATCCATGCCGAAACAGAAAACCGAACCAACTCATCAGACAGTAGAGCCACACCCACAAACCAACAAACGACAACACATCCAGGACAGAACCTGGAAATAGGTTCCAAGACGCCAGGCAGCCCAAAGGCAGATATGCCCAACGCAAGCGAATTGCTTGGAAACAATACCCACGACCCGAAGCGCGGAAAGCAAAGCAGTGACGTTCACATGAATGGCGGCCGAAAATGCAGTCCTTCCTCAGAAAGAACGTAGCACAAACTTTTCAAGCTGAAGCCAAACCCAAATCATGGGTCAAAATTGAGCCACTGGGGACCGCAGGTTTCAGCCCTTGCTTCCATTTACCAGTGAACCCCTGAAGCACACCCGTGCACCCATGCTACACACGCCTGGCTGATAGTCCAAAAGCATGGCCGAGCATTCGCTCAGCGCACGCTCAGCTTTCTGCTGCCAGGTACACCGGCCGCTTGCCTGCTTGAATCGGCGCCGAAGGGATTGGAATCTCAAAAAATGCTCAGCTTCAGCATCCCCTCAGTTGGTGGTTTGGTGGTTTGGTGGTTTAGAAGTTCGAGGGGGGGGTCGTATTTACCCTCTACAAGAACCTGGGATTCAAATCCTCAAACCCCAATCCAAACCACCAACTAGTAGTTACCTGCGCTGCCAGCTGATGAACTGCAAAAAACCGCTTGGCCCCCACGCCAAATTTGGCGTAAAAGGGCGTCATATGGCCATGGGTCAAAACCCCCATCCCAAAATGGTACCATTGGTTTTGAACCATGGCTTTATGCACGTAGCTGGCCTGTGACGATGTGCTCCGCAATGGAAGCCTCTTTTCCACAAGCTCGCTCCTCAGCTGCTCGCGCAGCAACTTGGGGCCATGTGCAACTGTCAGCAGATTCCAGGCTTTTGAGGATTCCGGCATTCCGGCCGTTTTCGGGCATTTCTGGGGGTAGAACGGGAAACGCAAAAACAAGCTCGCTCGGCAGCTTCCGCACAATTCCTGAAAGTTCGCTCTCCGCAGTTGGGGCAAAGGGATGGTAGCTGATCTCTCCATCAAAACACGGGCCCCGCGCAATGTGTGCTTTCAAAGAATTGGCCGTACTCTAGGCTTGAATGTCGCTGCTTAGGCCTCTCCGTTCCACTCCTACGCTGCGTCAGGCCCAGCGTCGCTCATCTCACGCTGTTGCGAGAGGCGCAGCTCTTCTTTCGTCTTGGCTGTGGCCTTGAAGACCTGGCTACAAGCACCAGGCAGCTGCGCAGATTTCGCATCGTTCCGCATGCCTTCTTCGTCCACCCAGCTGCCCTTGTCTCCAGAACATCCTGAAGCCATGCAACGAATGACAAGGTAGGGCAGGTAGGGCCAGTGGCAGGACCGGGATTGCAGCCATGTCGAAATTGACTAGGGGGGCAGTAATTTAGCAGGCGCATCTGCAAGGACACCATGCCTGCAAGCTCATATGGCTAGTGTCAGACGCAAGCCTCCCTCATGTCATGTCTTTCTCAAGCAAGCTCCTGGATCATGAACTGGATCCGTTTGCAATACCTGGGCTCGCTCAGCTTGCATCACCAAAGTCGGCAAAGCAATGGACGACTTCCACTTGGAACGTTGGAACTGGCTGAATGTGAACTGAACAACAGCATGTCAGCGATCCAAGGGGTATCTGGTCCTGCCTTCCTTGAATGGCTATGGAGCAAACGGGGCAGCTTGCGTGCGAGTGCAGGCCAGGCTCCTGCTCTTTCCGTTCTCCTTTCGAGACTTCAGGTCCTGCAAAGACTCCGTCTCTCACGCGTGTCGAACGAGAGCCCTCCCTTCCCGAGGCACGTCCTGCAGCCTCTTGCAGGACAGGTCTAGCGCGCCCTGCCCCGCTGGCACAGTGTCCATCCTGCCAGGCTTCCGAGCGATGCATCTGGCCACGGAAACGGCAAACACACTTGACCATTCTTGATTGATCAGGCTTAGCTTGATTCAAGGCCTTGCGTCACAAATGCTGTACCAAGGCACGTGTAACCAGCAGTCAGAAGAAGCTCGCAGGCGCATTCAAGCGCATGCTCTTCCTCAATCAGATCGAGTCGTCGGTCGTTCAACGCATTTTGCAGGGAAGGTTCCCGGCCCCAACCTGAGGCTGGCTCTGGGAACGCGTCGTCATCCTCGGGCGAGGCACCAGGACTGTGGCCATGGAAAGTCGTTTGACAGCGATCAAGCCGTAACATGCAGTGGAGATGCACAAAATGACGGTCCGACGGACGTGACCCCTAACAGGTTGCCCATGTAATTAGTGCAACTAAGGATCTTCGAGACAAACCAGCTCGCAAATGATTGAACCGACCACTTTGGTCGACAGGAGCTGGCGAAGGTACAAGTGGCCCACGAACCTTTCGATCGACTTGAATTCGGCGAAGAGCACCAAGCGACAAGGAAAGAAACGGGGAAAAAAGAAAAAAAAACACTTCCACTTTGCCAGAAAAGCTGGCTTCACCAACCTTGACACCGTTGGCACAGAGATGGCAAAGCTGCGTTTCAATGGGTGCCGCCAGCGCACTTCATATTTGCGCACATCCGTTCCTTCCTCTTCTTCGCGAGAACATCCTTGCGCGGCTAAAGATTTGTGCTGTTCACCTAAAAGCTTCCAAATGCAAACTCTCCAGAAAGCGCTTGCTTTGTCCTTCTCTTCTGCAGTGCACTCCGCCGACTGCTCGGGGGTTTCCTGATCCACAACTACACCGTGGGCAAGCGACATGTGCAAGCCACCTCAAGCAGACGCTTCTTGCCGCTCTGCGGCCGCGGCGGACAGAAGCTCCTCAAACTCGTTCTGGCAAATATTCAGCACCAAGCCTCAAACCGAGGCACATACAACCGGCCCTTCATGCCATACATCTTGCATGACCCTGCACTTAAAATCTTTGCTAAGGCTGCTTCTTGTTGTTGGTCTATTGTGAGCATGCGAACAGGAAGTGAGCTTGGCGATCGGAAGAACATGTCATTACTGGTGACCGAGCATTCTGCTTGACTCCGTCCCAAACGGTAGACCTTTCCAAGGCACTGCGGAATGTGACCGGCTTGCCCCCAGAAGCATCCGGGAAGTCCGGGAACTCCGACTTCAAGCTGAACACCAGATCTGCATAGGTCTCACCTCGCAAGACCCGACACTCCCAACACTTCACCAACCACCAGGTCAGTCCCACGTCCCACACTTCACCAACCACCAGGCCCTTCCACTCCTTGCACTCCCGTTCCGCGGCCGGGCCGGGGCCGGCGCTGTAATGGGGCTCCGTCACCGCCTTCTTGAAGATCAGCTCGATGATGGCTTCCAGCTGCTCGCGGCCCTCAACCTACGGCGTTTACGGATTCGATTGGTGGGAAGAGCTCTCGGCTTACGCCATTAAAAAAAAAAAAGAACTCCCCACATCGCAGGCCTCAACTGCTGCGATCTTCTCCACGATCAACGCCAAGTTCTCCGGGCAAACCTTGTTCAGCAAGCTTTGTACCTGACAAACCAGGCTCACACCTGTGCCTGACTCTTCGGGCCAGAAGCATGTGAGGGGACGCGCGCAAAACAGCAGCCGGGCCATCCGAGCAAAACAAAATAAGCCATGTATGCCATTATGCACACATTTATTTGCATGATAGCATAACCTGCACAAAAAAAAAAAAAAAAAGAGACCTGATCACATGAACACCCGTCTGTACCGGAGCTCTTGAAGCTCCACCCCACCCGCCGTCGCGTGTCCGTCCGCGACCCCGCCTGCCGCTTCAAAGCCTCCAGCTCCGACTGCGGCATGGCCATCCGGTAGGCGTTGGCGGAGGGCATCCTCAAGCGCAAGGCCCCTTGACCATTGGAACTTGGCGCACTGCTCACTGGTGGAAAACGGCCGACCCTCAGTGGAAGCCGAAAGGACTCGTGGAAAGGCCGGTGCTCACGAGTGGCCCTTGGAAGCCGTTGAGACCATTCGGGCAGCCATGGCTGTGCTCAATTGGCAAGTCGGATTCGGATTCGGAAACCGCGTGACGAGGCCGTCACCCTCCGGGCCCTGGCCCTCCGAACTTTCGGCGAGCCCAATCACGACTGATGTCAGCCAAGCTGCGGCAACGCCTCGGCGTCCGGTCCCGAAACTTCGATCCGAGGCGCCCAAAACACACGAGCCCCGAGGACCCTTTGACCACGGCTGGAAAGAAACGGACCTCCTGGCGGTGCCCCGGTGCCAAGCCGCCATGGGAGGTGGCGCCATCTTGGGGTTGCGATTCCTGGCCGGCTTTGACTTCAACCCCCCAGAATGCCAGGAAATCACACCGACTTCTAAATTTGAAGCTGCAAAGTGGCCGTCCTCGGCTCCCTCATTGACACCTGCCGCATCAGGGGCTTGCTGGAGAGGGCGGGGCACGGCTCCGACTGCTGCCGGGCCATAGGGTCCTCGGATGGGTCAAGTGACAATAGCACTTAGTCACTTGATGCACATGCGGCTCTGCGGTCCATAGATGGAGCCGCTGTTGCAAATCCCTCCCGCAGTTGCACCAGAAAAGAAAAAAAGCGGGGTTCAATTTTGTGTCAAAACTGGAGTGCTCGAAAATCATGAAGGCCCTGCGCACTTGCAACAGCACCCTGCCACAACTCTTGGTCACACCCCCTGCCCAGCACCATCGTATAAAAGCATCGTATGCCAGCTCCCTACGCAACTGTCGACCACAATGACAAGCAGAATCCTGCAACGCAACAGCACCCTGCAAGAAAAAGCCGTGGCACAGAATCCGGCAAAGGAACCCACCCGGCAATTGAACCCTGCGCAGCAGTAACCTACTGCACCCTGGCAACCCTGTGACGGCTCCTTGCGCAATTCAAACTGTCCTTGTGCAGGCGCACCCCCTGCAAAAAGCACCCGCACTCCTTTGCTTGAGGTTCGAACCGCCTACAGCTTTCAGCCACCCGGAAAGGTGTTGCCATTCTGTATAATCCGCATGAATGGAGCGCTGGCCGGCAAACATGCTGTGCTCCGGAAAAAGCCACCGAGAGGCCATTTTCTTCAGGACCGGAGCCGGAGCCGTGGTGAATCCCACCAACTCAGGAGGCACTTCCTGCGCGGAGTGCTGGCGCACATGATGCAGGACTCGTTTTTGCTGCCAGCGCTTCTCTGAAACAGGCGCTAAAAGGTCTTCCCGCCCTCTGCTTGCGCAGGGCCCATGCCTTCCCCTTTCTTGCGACCCTTGTCGCACCCCCTCTCCCCTGGTTTTTCCCTCTCCGCTGACCCTCGCCCCAGACTCATCCGGCGCATCCGTTTCATCCCCACCCAAAAGCCGACGCCCGCCTGTGAGAAGACCCGGAAGCTCAGGAGCTGCTGCCGCATCTCGTGAAATGAAACCTACAGGACGCGCAGGTTTAAGAGGCCAGGCAGGGCTGCTGACTCTGGCAACCTACAAAAGAACAAGCTGGTTGCTAGGGTAACGTGAGCCACTCATAAGATCTCTCACTATATATATATATATATATGTGTGTGTGTGTATCTATATCTATATCTATATGATTACATTGATGTTTCCATGTTAGAAAGGGCAATTAAAAACAACCGGCTCAAAATTCGTAGAACACCACAAGAAGGTGTGTACCTTTTTCGCCAGGGTCGTCTTGCAATGCTTATTGACAGCTTCTTCGCTGGGCACCTCAGGTTGGTTCGAGCTTCGAGATGTTTCTTTCTGCCCTGCTTCGAATCGGTAATGGTCAAATCTCGTGCTTTTGTTCTTGTCCAAGTATGAGACTCATTGATAGCTTTGCAAATCGCCTCTTCCGAAGGTGCAGTGGACTGATCGTCCGTGTCCTGGATCTTGACCTGGTCGACAAGCGCCCGTCTGCTGCGTGCCAGTTGGCCCAGTTCGCGCAGTTCGCGAAAAGTTCGCCCAGTGCGCCCAGGGTCCCGGCGGCCTTTTTGGCTGCGCGGGGCTTCATGAGCATCGGGATCAAAGGCGACCGCCGCAGCTCGGGACGCCTGAAGTCCACCTCGGCGTTCGGGGGAAGCGCTCAACTGCCGAAGCGCCGAAGCGCCGAAGCGCCGAAGCGCCTCGCCTTCTGCGGCCAGGCGGCTAGATCCAAGTTCAGGGCGCTGAAAAGGGAGTCGTCGGCCCTCCATCTGGCAGCCCGTCTTGCATGGCGCAGGAGCACCTCCGGCATTGGCGCTTGGAGTCAGGTCGTAAAACCACAACGGCTCACTTAAGCTGGCCCCAAAAGGTCTGAAAAACAACCAAAGCTCACTTGTCATGGCCCCAAATGGTCTTAAACTCCGCGGAAGATCACTTAGCATGGCTCACAGAAAGGATTGTAAAACATCGCACCGGCCTGTTGGAGGGGAGTCTCTGCTAGTGAGAGCCCCAACTTCCTGCTCTTGGACCTTGGATGCAGCCAGCCGAGCCCCTCTCAGCCATCGCCGCCCGAGCCCCCGGCAGGCGAGCCATGTCACTGCGATCCTGCACGCAGAATCCGCTGCTCTGGCTGAAGCTTCATGAAGCTTCAAGCTGGCGATCGCCTGGCCTGCATGGACCGAAAGCCTCTGGACCGATGGACACAAAATAGCCGCAACAGCGTACTTTGAGCCAGGCCGCGACAACAGAAACTATTCACGGTCAAGAAATGGACAATGGGAAAACAAGTCCCTAGCAGACAAAGGCACTGCCAAATCCTGCAGTGGTCCCTTACGTTGATGCTTGTTACCTTGATGCTCAAGCTGAGCTCATCTAATCCATGCCCAAATGCAAAACGAACCCAGGGAATCATGTTCAAATACATGAAAAGCAGGCAAGGCCGGGGCAACTCGTCGCTGTCCACGTGCAGAAGCCAGTCCACCCCCAACCTCTCATGGCAAGAAGGCTCAACCGAAAAGGTCAGCACGCACGTGCGCGGTGAATTCTTTCCTCCTTGACGGACTTGGACCATTTGCGGACCCTGGCTGCGTTTTGCCCCAAGACCTGGGGCCCAGGCTGACGAGCGCGCACAAGGGCATGCTCGTTGTTCAGGATCTGGCGGCTCTGCACCTGGGTGCGCGACTGCGCAGCCAATAAGCGAGGCCAAGGCTTTCCGCCGAGACTGCGCTTGAGGTGCGCACTTCCATGTTAGCAAACTGGCCCACGCGGCCTGGCAGTGCCGACTCCCACCCTCAACGGGCAAAGGAAGAGGGGAACAAGGAACAAAGAATCCTACAAGCCAGGCTGTCGCCAAGAAGGCATTGACGGCCACTGCGCGCGCAGAGCGTCATTGATCACGACCAGCTCCACAAAGCCATTCTGCACCTCAAGCTGATGATCCATTCCACACGAGTGGCAAAAGACAGCAAAGTTTCACGGCCAAACCCTACCACAAGCCCGCAAATGCAAAGATCCCCTACCCTTGCAATCCTCATGATGGAGAGAAATCCATCAATGTCTAAGGCTTCTCCGAGGTCAAGTTGTTCATTCTGACGACGATGATGATGAGGATGATGATGAGGATCATTATAAGGATGATGATGATGATGATGATGATGATTGCTCCAAGTGTTTGTTTCGTTTCAGCTCAGAAAAAGTGTCCGACTGTTGGTGCCTGAGCACTACACCCAGCCACTCTCCTGCAGGACTGCTGCGGCTGAATCCTCCGGATCATCCAGGTACAGCCTGCGGATTCCAAGCTGACATGTCCATCTCTGGGCAAGCAGATTACGCCCAGCAACAACCGCGCAGAGCCTCCCCCCAAAGTGAGGAACTCGAAATCCGACCCGGATTGAGCCCCCTGCAACATGCGGTAGAACCCCAGGGCTGCATAGTGGCGCACAAAGCTCTCGATGACCTGCAACATCACTGACCAACATCTCGGCTCCAAGTGACACAGCTTGCTGCTGTCACACATGGCTGGACCACATCAGACGTACATTCTAGGACATCTCGGCGCGCTGCGTTTGCGCAATCGCGGATCTGCGAGAAGACTGCAACCTTTTCGCCAGCCACCTGTCGAGCGCGCTGCAAGCTTCCCCAACCGGCATAGCATGCACACACACCCTCTCGCGACCCTTCATTTCCCTGGCAATCTTGCCGCAGCTGCACTAGCCTACAACATGGGGCATACGTTCAGGGCTTGACATTGAATAGGGGCAATTGCCATCTCGCTAATACTGTATGTCTCGTAGTTTCGAACGCGGGGATGTCTTGTACGAGGGAAAGCCTTTTGCGACTGACGCACTTGACCAGTGCGCAAAAACTTTACTCTCAAGTTGGTTCCTCTTGTGCGCCCGCAAGTGCATGCGTGCGCGTACATGCGCTCGCAAGTGCGTGCATGCTGATGCGCATGCGTGTGCATGTCAAAAGCCCATTGAAGCAGCAGGGAGCAGGACGAAACACAACAAGCCGAGCCAGCTACAGACTGCTGGCAAAAGCACAAATGCATGGAATAGCACCGGCCAGAATGCTCAGAACACATTGTGCTCTTGTACGTCTACAACAAAAAAAACTTTGGCTTCGCTTCCGACCGGCTGGATTCCAAGAGCCAGACCTGGCCCTGGTGCAAGGGCACCTTAGCAGCCTTAGCAGCGCGCGCAAGCGACCTTCCGCAGGTCGACCATCCGCACCCCCAAGAACACCATACTCAGGTGTAGCGAGGCGCCGGCACCTCTGGCCCGCGCACGGGTGCAGAAACGACATCGCCGGCTGGAGATGCCACCTCAAAAGCCGGCGCACCGCGAGGGGAATCGCTGCGCGGAAAAATGCACCAAGGTTGGGGCAGCTGAAGCCTTTTCCGCGAACCTGCAAAGCACTGCCTACAAGCAGACCACGTACAAGTGCCAAGCGCGCGTGCCTTGCAAACGGCCGGCTGCATGCCTCCAGTCATGTGTTTCGGCTTTAGTTCACGCCCAGCCAGCTCCATGTCCGGAGGGCGAGGAGAAACACAGGCGCAAATCTTGCAACTGAAGTTCGTGCTACCTCCCGCTCACCGCTGCCTGCCAATACTTTGACATTTGATAACCGCCCCACCTCAATCGTCTGAAGTGTTGCCACTCAGGCAGGCGTGGCAGCTGTGCAGCCATGGGATCCACCAGTCTAATCAGCGCGTCATCAGCCACCGATGATGAAGTGCGTGTCTGTTTCACTTTTGGCAGTTGCACACTTATCTTTGTCACCCCTACAGAACAAGAGGCGTGGGCCCGTTCGCGCATAACGCCTTGGCCCAA